TCCAGTTTCCTTGAGAGCTATTTTCTCCAGCTATTCAAATGTAATGCCAATCCCATATCTCCAGTTGCCTTGATCTATCCACTACCCTCATTCTTTTTTTCTATCACTCCTATCTGATCTTGCTCCAAATTTTCTGTAACCACTTGCGTCCTAGTGGCTTCCCTGCCTAGCTTTGGGTGAAAATATATATATATATATATATATATATATATATATATATATATATATATATATATATATATATATATAATAATATAATAAAAAGACTTAAACACTAATATTCCATGGTCATAATTTATTCCATTGGAATCGTAAATGCGATCCAATTCATCAGACCTACAAATTCAAAAGGAAACAGAAAAAACAACTCCGGAAATAAAAACAGAATTTAGAGAGAGTGTAAGTATGAGGGGGAGGGAGATTAAACCTTAACATATTACTAAAGTGATTTTCGGTTTTTGTGCTACACCATTTTTCAAATCTCTGGTTTTCGCCGCTCGTCGAATTTTTAGTATATCGCGTGTTCACGTGACAATTCATATTGTCGAGTATTCTTTTACGAAGTTCATTTTCATATTTTTTTCTTAACTGTAACCACATTTTATTGATGTTGGTCTTTTTATACATAATGCAATTAATAAATGATTCGTCTTTTTTGTTTTTTGTTTTTCTTTTTTTTTTTTTTTTTTTTTTTTTTTTTTTTGCTGGGGGAGTATTTTTCAATTTCTCCGATATAGTATTTTGCCGATATTGGTAAATATTTGTAAATTTTCTTGTATCTTATTCTTTGGTGATATGCAATTTAACAGTTACTGATATCAGATGAATGTCGTGGTTGTGCAACAGATGAATGTGCTGTTTGACTTATTATTATAAGAGAGGCGTTATGCAAACAGAAAAGCAAATTCATTTTTTATTGTATCACCCTGTAGATATTTATGTTTTGTATTATTTTATGAGTTATTATTTTACGTTAAGTGTCATCTAGTTCTGTATATGTTTTAATGCAACCTCGTAGCTGATTAATGTCGAATTTTTTGCATAAAAAGAATATAGTTTGCGATTTCACTGATTAACCTTCACAAATTATTTATTTATATTGGTCAAATACTTTCCCTTCAGAAAGAATTATGTCTCCATCAAAATAGCATCGCGTGTGCAAGTGTAGAGTGTGTTATGTGTCAGTTGCCAAAATGAGTCAAGTTTTTGTGCAAAATCAACTTAGATGGTAACGCATAACTGTCCACCATCTTAACATAATTTTATTGGTGTTAGTTTATTTTTTTCATGATGACTTTTTAGTAGATGATAAATCAGAGCACTTAATAAAAACGGCATTCCTAATAAAATAAAATCAAAGAAAAAATAAAAAAAATAGTTTTGGAGACCGAATAATATACATTATAAAGATGCTTTCAACTACAAGAAAAATAGTATTAACTTGTGTTGCTATAATCAAATTTATTCCATCTCTATATAAAAGGCAGGATGTGTGTGTGTGTGTGTGTGTGTGTGTGTGTGTGTGTGTAACGAACGCACGGCCGCAATTTTCGACGGATTTGCACCAAAATTTATATGCACATGCTCCAAGTTAGTGGGAAGGCTAAGACCGACGTTGCATCTCCCAACTCCCATCCATAATGGAAATAATCGATTTTTCATGGTTCTACGGCAGTTTTCATGTAGTTTACGGCCATTTTCTACTGGTCAGAGTGGGAGCTTATTGGTGGCTGTCACGAATAGGCAGGAAGATTCTATTGGCCAGCACGAGAGCCAACAGCTGACTAACACGAATGTTAACTAGCATGCTAGAATGAAAAAAAAATCGATAGCTGCATTCGTCACAAGTGGGAAAAATTGAAATCTGCATGGCACTTTACTCCAATTGGCTCATTCCCTTGCTTAAACTCAACGTTGATTCTGATTCCGCAGAACTGGGTTGGGTATGAAAAAGTATTTGTTGTTAATATTCTTTTTTCATTCGGTTTTTCCAGTTATGAGTCCTTTTTTAAAGCTGATTGTTTTGTGTTCATTTTGTTTAGTTCTTTTTTCGTAACAGATTTAATGTTTAGTATAGAGCTTAGAAAAAATTCGCAGTGTGAGATAGGCAAGAAATAAGGCATGTAGCAACATGAGCACGGCAAAGGGCACTCCTTTAAAGGCAAGGAAGGGCAAAAATATTTTAAGTCAAGTGATAGCGATTGCTGTATGAGTCGTACGATTTTTGAATTAAGCACGGACAATGCCGGGCCATGCTGCTAGTATGTGTATAAAACTAAAGGCAATACATATGTAATATATTTATAACATCTTCGTCTTTTTTTATGTGCCATTTCCGTTCAGGACGTTGGCGATCATGTCTATCTAAAAGTTCCTGTACTCCTTAATTCTCAATAAATGTTTATTATTTTTTATATCACCGAATCACTATTCTGCTATCCATTCACTAAAGCTCGCTAGGTAGTTTATGCGATTGTATAGCGGCTCGGATTGAGGCAACGGAGAGCCGAGTTCGAATTCCAGTCGAATCGATTACATTTACTTACGTGCTATTACCCTTGAGAAAGGTATGAATCATCTTCTTCTCCCCCAGCTATGGAAAAAATAGCAGGACAGACTGGGTTCTTTAGACTTTGATGTTAACTGTTCCACCGCGGAAAAAATGGCAACAACAACAAAAAAATCCGCCTCGTCAGTCATGTATCGAAAGATACATGATCGCCTAAGCGTGTTATCACGCATGGTGCAGAACTAACTTTTTACTACCCGTTTTGCCTTCAATCACTCCTGAGAGTAACAGATTTTCCATACCCTCTTTTCATTTTATGTGGCCTAAATTTCAACTGACCCTTTATGATGTTAAGTTTAAGTGTTTTTTTTTTCCAATATCTCTAAAAATTTCGACTTTGTTCATGCTATGTCCCGGGAAGGGATATATATGATCGAAGTAGCTAAGGCGTTTAGGCTACTGTAGCCGAGTAGAATAACCTAGCAGGTAGCAGTAATGGAATTGGTACTCGTCGTTGTCGCAGTCAATAGGTGTAGGCGATAGGCGTAGACCAATAGGATAACCAATGGCGTTGCCCAATGTGCGTCGTCAATAGGCGTCCTGTACCTCTACATCAGCCTGTATTTATGGCTGACACCAGCCAATCATATTCCTCTGAAGGTGAACATAGGTGTATCCATATTCATTACATCAGTTAACATGTTCGGTCCATGGTATTATCAGCATCCTCCTGGAGAACCACTTTTCTGTGGCTTCAAGTTTCTTTTTTATCGGTGAGAAGAGTGTCCAGCATTCCCTGACATATAAGACATAATATATTAACTGTTTATAATACTTTTTTTCTTTGTTTCTAACGAAAATTCCCCGTTTCTATATGTATTAATTAAACATTATATTAATGGATATTAATGAATAAATAACATTAAGAATAACTAGGAATAGTCATAAAAATATGATGAATCTTAATTTTGTATTCGTCACTGAATAGATTCATTTCGATTACTATGACTATAAAATACTCCTGGAAATTCGACTGTTTCATCGTGAAATATCTGTGCTGAATATCTTTAACAAAATATTGCAATAACAATTATGAATATTGCTGTTACTGGGGACAAATAAAATGGAAGCGCCGTTTCAGCCATTGTATATACACGGAAGTACCGTCTCGGCGATATTGTTTATGTGTTAATTCAAAGCAGCAGTATCGCTACTTCAGACGGAATTCACCAGAGTAAACTGCCTTGTCGTTATTAAAGAACTCCTTACCAATTTGAAACAAATATGAATGCATCTTACTACTTAAAGGAGTAACTGGGTAAAAATGAAAAAAATCAACATGGCATAGTTTTAATTTTTCTAATATTGCATGAGAGTGATATAGCTTCTTCTACCTTGAATGTTTTTATCTTCTGTTTGCTTTCTGTTTTCCCAGTGAAACTAAACAGCGTCCCAGATATAGGTTTTCCTCCGTCTTACCTGGCAATTAAAACAATGCATTATTTATCTGATAACTAACAAAGGAACTCATCAGAATTATAATCAAAAACGATATTAATTATCAATATCTATTTTTTCATGTAATCCCTGTCTGTTTATTTATATATTTTTTATCTAGTGTGAAGGGAGGTAAATCAACTTAAATTTATAAGTAAATTCATGAGTAAAATACTTCCTTTAGTTGTCTCTCCCCTACACACATATCTCTAACTAATCATCCCCCCACACGCCTCCCCAGGCGCACCGCCACGCGCATCCACAACACGCTTCTCCCTAAAACTCCCTAAACACACCTCTCTCACACAAGAATCATCCCTATATCTACCCACGCGTTTACCAGAAAATCGACTCCTCCCACTTGCCCAGCACCTTGTCCTACACGCTTCTTCCAGATATAAATACACACACACACACACACACACACACACACACACACACACACACACACACACACACACACATATATATATATATATATATATATATATACAAGGTGGGGGAGAGCAACTTGCTAATTTGGAATATCAATTAAAACACAAGTAATGCAGGTATACATGTAATTCTTTGAACTGCAACTAGTTCAACATTTAAATTTTATTTTTTACCAGTTTTAAAGATGATATCAGTAAGATGGCGTCCATTCTTCTCTATACACTGAGTCAATGTTTTGGGGTGACCTTGCTGTTCGTGGGAGGCCAGGTTTCTTTTTCTTTACATCACCTGTTTCCCTGAAGTTGTTTACCCATGAAACAATCGACTGCCGGCCAGGAACACGACCACGGGGAGCAATATTGAAATGTCTACGCAATGCACGTTGCGTTGCGACGATTGAGCGAAGCTTGATAAAAATGCCTTAACAGTGAAAGCGCGTTCCAACTTCGTCCAATCCTTGATGCTCACTGGGGTTCCTGAAAAATAATAAAAAAAAATAAATAACGCACGTTAAGAACCAAACTTTAAGCCCCACCCTCTCAAATAAGTCCATCCCTACCATCCTTGGAGCAACCATCGCTTTAGGGCGCAAAATTTGAATAAGCAAGTTGCTCTGCCCCACCCTGTATATATAGAGAAAGAAAGAAAGAAAGAAAATGAATGAAAGGAAGAAAGAAAATGAATGGAAGAATGAAATAAAATGAATGAAAGAAAATGAATGAAAGAAAAATAATGAAAGTAAGAAAGAAAATGGAAGAAAATGAATGAAAGAAAATGAATGAAAAAAGAAAGAAAATGAATGAAAGAAAATGTTGAATGAATGAAAGAAAATAAATGAAAGAAAGAAAAAATGAATAAATTAAAGAAAATGAATGAAAGAAAGAAAATGAATGAAAGAAAAGGAATGAAAGAAAGAAAATGAGTGAAAGAAAATGAATGAAAGAAAAGGAATGAAAGAATGAAAGAAAATGAATAAAAGAAAGAAAATGAATAGAAAGAAAGAAAATGAATGAAAGAAAGAAAATGAATGAAACAAAAGGAATGAAAGAAAGAAAATGAATGAAAGAAAGAAAATGAATGAAAGAAAAGGAATAAAAGAATGAAAGAAAATGAATGAATGAAAGAAAATGAATGAAAGAAAATGAATGAATGAAAGAAAATGAATGAAAGAAAAGGAATGAAATAATGAAAGAAAATGAATGAATGAAAGAAAATGAATGAAAGAAAATGAATGAAAGAAAATGAATAAATGAAAGAAAATAAATGAAAGAATGAAAGAAAATGAATGAAATAAAGAAAATGAATGAAAGAAAAGGAATGAAAGAATGAAAGAAAATGTATGAAAGAAAATGAATGAAACAAAGAAAAGGAATGAAAGAAAAGGAATGAAAGAAATAAAATGAATGAAAGAAAAAGAATGAATGAATGAAAATGAATGAATGAAAGAAAATGTATGAAAGAAAGAAAAGGAATGAAAGAAAGAAAATGAATGAAAGAAAATGAATGAAAGAAAGAAAATGAATGAAAGAAAAGGAATGAAAGAATGAAAGAAAATGTATGAAAGAAAGAAAATGAATGAGTGAAAGAAAATGAATGAAAGAAAAGGAATGAAAGAAAGAAAATGAATGAAAGAAAATGAATGAAAGAAAGAAAAGCAATGAAAGAAAAGGAATGAAAGAATGAAAGAAAATGAATGAATGAAAGAAAATGAATGAAAGAAAATGAATGAAAGAAAGAAAAGGAATGAAAGAAAAGGAATGAATGAATGAAAAAAATGAATGAAAGAAAATGAATGAAAGAAAGAAAATGAATGAAAGAAAATGAATAAATGAAAGAAAATAAATGAAAGAATGAAAGAAAATGAATGAAATAAAGAAAATGAATGAAAGAAAAGGAATGAAAGAATGAGAGAAAATGTATGAAAGAAAATGAATGAAACAAAGAAAAGGAATGAAAGAAAAGGAATGAAAGAAATAAAATAAATGAAAGAAAATGAATGAATGAATGAAAATGAATGAATGAAAGAAAATGTATGAAAGCAAGAAAAGGAATGAAAGAAAGAAAATGAATGAAAGAATGAAAGAAAATGAATGAATGAAAGAAAAGGAATGAAAGAATGAAAGAAAATGAATGAATGAATGAAAGAAAATGAATGAATGAAAGAAAATGAATGAAAGAAAATGAATGAAGGAAAATGAATGAAAGAAAGAAAATGAATGAAAGAAAATGAATAAATGAAAGAAAATAAATGAAAGAATGAAAGAAAATGAATGAAATAAAGAAAATGAATGAAAGAAAAGGGAATGAAAGAAATGAAAGAAAATGTATGGAAAGAAAATGAATGAAACAAAGAAAAAGGCATGAAAGAAAAGGAATGAAAGAAATAAAATGAATGAAAGAAAAAGAATGAATGAATGAAAATGAATGAATGAAAGAAAATGTATGAAAGAAAGAAAAATAATGAAAGAAAGAAAATGAATGAAAGAATGAAAGAAAATGTATCAAAGAAAGAAAATGAATGAAAGAAAGAAAATGAATGAAAGAAAATGAATGAAAGAAAGAAAATGAATGAAAGAAAATGCATAAATGAAAGAAAATAAATGAAAGAATGAAAGAAAATGAATGAAAGAAAGAAAAGGAATGAAAGAAAAGGAATGAAAGAATGAAAGAAAATGTATGAAAGAAAGAAAATGAATGAATGAAAGAAAATGAATGAAACAAAGAAAATGAATGAAAGAAAATGAATGAAACAAAGAAAATAAATCTTAGCCAATGCGCTTAATTATAACTTGCCTAGACTTTGGGGCATTCCTAAATTAAAAAAAAATTAAGACCAATAACATTTTTGCTCATGTATATAAATACTTGTTGCAAATAAAACCCTTGCATTTGCCTTTATAAAGTTCCTCATAGGACGAAACGTGTTGGCCAAGATAAGTTTTCATTTGTCTTTAATTATATTGTCTTTTTTCAGATATACTCCATCTGAAATTTCACATATATATGTATGTATGTATGTATGTATGTATGTATGTGTGTGATTTAACTAATTTAGAATATTTGAGATGTTTCTGATTGTATTTTTCATTATTTATCTCCTCCGCCATACACACCGATATTCAGATATTTAAAAATAAAAAAAAAATGTATTTACAAAATCAGGTTTGATTTTTCTATAGTGAGTCATATATTATTATTTAGAATATTGATCTAAGAAAAAAACAACAAAATGGCGCCTGAAATGTTTTTCTGACATTTCGATATTGTTGTGTGCGTGAGTGAAGCTATTTTTTTTTTACTTTTTTTTCTCGAAAGAAGGGAAACCAAACAAAACGATTTGAAAAACCCAAATCAATGAAGCGAGTTGGAAAAGGGAATTATTATTATTTTTTTTTTCTTCTTCTTCTTCTTCTTCTTCTTCTTCTTCTTCTTCTTCTTCTTCTTCTTCTTCTTCTTCTTCTTCAATACTACAGCTTGTACTATTAAACTTATAATTACTATTATTATTATTATTATTATTATTAGTGTATGCTAGCTTTTTCTGCTTTTTATTCTGCAGAGCCTTGTACAAACTATGGTCCTTAGGCCCTATAGGAGAATTTCCATTTAAATGATAGCTTTTTTCTTAGTATAATAGGATGTCCCTATTAGAGCTATCTACTGCAGAAATTGTAAATAAAGTTGTCGATACCTTTTCACACGATGCCCAGTGCTCCGAATGTTATTGGCACAGTTAGTATTCATTCCTCATATCCTGTTAACGTCCAAGTCCTTCGATTTTGACAGTTTCTCAATAATTCTCATGCACGTGTTTCTCTCAGAATTCCTTGCTGAATTTCTTGTCTTTTATGATAATATTATGTCTGTTGACATTTGTTCCACTGTTGTTATTATTATTATTATTATTATTATTATTATTAATTCACGGCCTTTTTTAAAAAAAATTACCAAAAGCTTATTAAATATTGACCCTGATACAAATACCTAGAATATTTAAATAATGCAATTAATAGGTCCTTCATATTTAAGAATTGGAACGCTCTAACGAACAACGGAATGACTACACGAGAAAACGTATAGTCAGCGTGAAACATACATGGATGTTCTGAAAACTCATACATTCCAATAGATCCGGATAAAAGAGATTAAATTAAGATGAAATTAAAGACACATCAAATCTCAACAATATCTGTCTATATTTCTGAGATGAGGTATTATTTACACTATTTGAATTATACGGACTATTGTCCACATCTTTGCCGCCGTATTTATTACAACGTTTCGGCCGGTGTACGCTCCGGCCTTCCTCATGTGGTTGGGTGGTTGTACCATGTGTCCTCAAGGAGACATGGCACAGTGGATAAATGAGTTAGTTAGATCCAGTGACAGGACACAGAGATTGTGAGTTCAATTTAAGGCGGTGGGGAACTTTAATAGGGGAATTAACAGGAGATAGCGGATAACTTACATCCATTAGACATGGCAAGTGGAACTAGAATAGTATACCCCAGTGAGCGAAATAAAGGTTTCAGTTCGGCATTCCAACACCCTAAAGAAGGCCGGAGCGTACTACAGCCGAAACGTTGTGATAAATATGGCGAGAATGTTGTGGACAATAGTCCGAATAATGTAAATCTTAACAAGCAATCTAGAGGACAGACAACTTTTTGAAGGCTAAAGAATTAGTCAGTTTCTAATCTGAGATAATAAGAACTTTGCGTAAACGGGGCAACAGATTATGGTGAGAATGCTTGAATGTAACGAAAAGGTTTACTGAGTTAATTTGAAAAGAGAACCGTTGCAAAATGGTTCTCAATACAACCCCGAACTTTGGGATAAATAGCACGACAGACTGGACTTAGTAACCAGCTTTGGCAATCAGTATTTGAGAAGGACAGCTGTGAACTTAAATCCTTATGTGGCCCTGCTGGAGCATATACATAAGCTCCAACTAAGGCCCGCTCAGCAATATTGTATTACCACGGAGATTAAAATATTTAGACAGAAAGCGAGCCTCGTAAACACATTTTCTCCACTAATGCTATCCATATTATATTCGTGCTAGTGAGGTCTACATGGATTGATTGGTTATTTTTTTTCTGTTTTATCAACCTTTTGCAGATTATTTAAAGCCAGAAAATAATTTAGATTGTAAGAACTTTTTAAAATGAATGATGATATACTTATATACTAAGTCATACTAAGTAACCCTTAACTGTGTGTATAGAAGATGTGGAGTCATACCTTTTGCCAACGGCATTGTCGCATGATTGAATATAGCGAACCCGACTAGAACTGGAACTCGGCCCTCCAGTTTCCAATTCAGAATCATTACCCATTACACTATCCGCACATACAAGTTTACACGAACAGGTATTTACAAACGGTCATCCATCAAGGGAGTGACCAGGTTCGACGTAGTTGAACTCTGGTAAACGTACGACATATTGCCGTAAAACATCTACACGGGAAAGAAAGGTTTGGCGATGTTAACTGCTTCCTTAGATGGGAATATTCGGCATTCATTGACCGAACAGACATTGCAAAAATTACCAAATCTTTCTATTAAGCCTTTTTACAGTTTCGCAAGTTCATTGCTTTCGCTCTTTACATTAGTGAGGTGAGGTTCTTTCTTAACATTTCATTCTATGCAGTGGGGAAGTCTATGAATTCATAAGTTTCGAAGAAGGATGTTCTTCGCTAAACCCTACCGGCTTCGTTCGCTATTTTTTTTCAACCTTTGATCTGAGAAAAATATTATACAGATGACAGTTTAGGTATTTTTGAATGTGTTGACGCCATGAATGACATTCATATGTATGACCGTCCTGGATAAGGCGATAAGCTACATCCGCGTCCTGGATAAGACGATAAACTACATCCTCGTCCAGGGTAAAGCGATAAACTACATCCAAAAGCAAGGCCTTTCATCAGGAAGTTTTCAGGAACGTGAAACCACCTCTTAATTGCTGGTGTTCCCAGGTCCACCATGATCTGGGTGGTAGCCCCGGTTATGCTCCCAGTTATAGACAAATATTTAACTCCCAAACATGGGTCAAAACACTATGAAATTGTAAGAATGGGCTGTGATACCGGTAATATATTTTTGTAAAAGATTATTACCAGCAATTATTTTTTTAAGGAAAAAAAAACATTAACAGAAATACTTTATTTACCAGCAATACATTTAAAAAAATTATTACCAGCAATATATTTTTGGAAATCAATATTGCCAGTAATACATTTTAAAAGGAAAAATATCACCAGCAATGAATTTTTTAATGAAAAAATATTACCAGCAATACATTTTTGAAGAAAAAAAAATTATTACCAGCAATGCATTATTGAAGGAAAATTTATTACCAGAATAAATTTTTGAAGAAAAAAATTTGCAGCAATACATTTTTGGAAAAAAAAATTATGAAACAATTATTACCAGCAATAAATTTTTGAAAAAATAAATTAGCAGCTATACATTTTTCGAAAAAAAATTTACCAGCAATACACTTTTTGATAAAATAATTTTACCAGCAATGCATTTTTGAAGAAAAAAATAATATTACCAGTACTACATTAATTAAAGTAAAAATATTACCAGCTATACATTTTTGAAAAAAACAAAAATATTACCAGCAATGCATTATTGAATGAAAATTTATTACCAGCAATAAAGTTTTGAAGAAAAAATTTTACCAGCAATACATTTTTTGGAAAAAACAAACATTTTAGGAAAAAAATTATTATCAGCAATAGATTTTTGAAAAAGAAATTGCCAGCAATACATTTTTCGAAAAATAATTTTACCAGCAATACATTGTTGATAAATAACATAAAATTTTGATAAAATACACTACCAGTAATAAATCTTTAAGAAAAGATATTACCAGCAACACATTTTGAAATGTATGTTGCCAGAAGTGTGAATCATGTCGGCATAAAGTAACACATTGAGGTTGATATAACGTAAAATATACCGAACCAAACCTATCATATATATGTCTTAATCTGACAAGACTATTTAAAAGTATGACTCAAGATATCGCCAGTTGTGACTTTCTAGCCACGTCATGTGTTGGTCAAAACTAATCTTAATGTATCCTATTTCATGATCCGATTTCCTCATCTAAAATATATCTGTTGTAAGTGATCCATACAATGAATTATTTGCCTTGTCAAGGGTTTATTAATCTCACATTTTGAAATTTTGTGATGGATTCAATGTATTTAAAATCATTGCTTTTATTCCAGTTCCAGAAAATGGTTACTCTTTTGGAAAAGTTTGTTTCGAAGACTTGCTCGAATATAAGTAGTAAATAGGAATTTCCTTTGTACATGGAAACAAATCGTATCAACATAAATGAAGTTTTATCGTATTCAAATACAGAAAAAGGAAAGGATCTGAGATAGTTATATCCAATCTTATTTAAGAAAAAGAAAAGAGAGCATAAGTTTTAAGAATAAAACGAAATTGGAATCTGCCTGATGTAACACGTGACTATGATAGCGAAGAGTTATCCAAAGTTCTGGCAGCGTAAGTTGTAGAAACGAACCAAAAATTTGCTCTTGTTGCCTCTTTTGAGGTTTGGGCATTGAAAATTATTTCCATGGATTCTTACACCTCGCAAAATGCTTTGGGTATAACAGACACCATTAGGGGTGGGTGTGCGCTATCTATTCTTGGAATAGTTCATGTGCTGAAAAAGATTTTGTCCTTCGAAACACTGGTAGAACCCGAGATATGAACTTCATCTATAATCATATATTACTACTACCACTACTATTACTATTAATAATAATAATAATAAAAATAATAATAATAATAATAATAATAATAATAATGAAAATATGGCCTCAGGTGATATTTTTGGTGGAGTTAATGTGTATGAGGTTTGGTCAGAAAGTAACGGGACTGTGGCTATTTTAACAGAACTAAAGTACACAGAATGAGGCGGTTCGGCACAGATTGACCTTGACCGTTATCGCGCATAGACACTAAAATATAACGGACTCAGTCCCGCCTGAAGAAAGTCTGTAGAGTGTGGTCGTCTCTCCACATCACAGTGTTTCTATCGCTGACCATGTCTTGTGCATTTTTTTTGTCCAAACACAATATTCGCCAGCTCCGACAACCACCATATTCCCAGATATCATCTCTTTCCTCTTCAAAAATCAAATCCCACTTGAAAGGAAAAAGATTTCAAGATGTCAAACAAATACAAAATAATGTGATGAGAAGCTGTCGCTGTCCTTAAAAAAAGGAATTCCAGAAATGTTTTCATCAATTTAAACGATGCTGGAAAATGTGTGTCTTCAGAAGGAGAGTACTTCGAAGTGGAGAAATGCCGAATTGATATGTGTTTTAATTCGTCTTTATATACAACAAATTCGTTAATTTTTTCAGATCTTGTACATGTAACAGGCTAGAATAAATATATTTTTTATTAAGCTGAATTACATGTAGACTAGTATCAAGGAGGAGGTCCAGAAAATTGCTGTGTTGTCTGTACATTATGTCAAGTTTAAAAATTAACAGATTCTGAAGATTTGCGGTCCATTCAGTATCAGAGCAATATTCAAATGCAGTTGCCCCCCTACGGAGAAATATCTGCACAGTCAAACTTCAATCAACGAAGAACCTGACCAAAAACTGTGTTCACTCCATGCCTTGCAGTTGTAGCAAAAAATGAAATCTGAAACAAGCCGCCATCTAAAAGTAAGGAACATAAAAAAACCTTAATGAATGCGGGGAGGATGAAATTTAGCATAGCTGATAAAGTATGGAGGTAAATATGAGAGCATAGACCCTTCTGGAATAAGGTGAAAATACTAGAAAAGGATGAAAACTGGAGATTTAGACGTCTGAAAGAAGCAATGCATTTCTAGAAACAAATTCAATAGATTTAAGTAGTGCAACAGTATGTGCACGAGAACATTAAATTAAAATTTCCATATTAGAATTTATTAACCAATCAGTGACTTTATCTCAAGCGGCATTTAATCTTTCAAAAACAGACGACCATACTTATCGTCTGCTAAAAAAATTTGAACATTGACTGCCAGAAAATTATTACGAATATTTTCACCGCTAAAATTCGAAATTGAAAATTGAGAAATATATTTATTAAACAATAAAACTTCTGAGTTTATTAAATATAACTTTTAATCTGTAATCAGAATATTGTCTTACAAAAAGCGTACCGTAGATTAATATTCGTCTGTTTTCAAAACAATTTGACCAGGGAGAGTAAAAATACGGCATTCTCAAGTTTTCGTATAATTAAGTTATTGAGTACTATGTTTCTTCTTGCAAATTATTTCTAGCTTCTAAAATATTTTCATGCACAAATTTGCACAGTTCACATTAAGAAAATATACGGGCGAAGTCAGAGGTTATTATTTTTCAAGTGTGAAGAATGAGACAGCCGACTGGGTAGGCATATTTAGACACATCTAGATATCTGGAAACATCTAGACAGTCTTCACGGACTGTTTTATCTGAATCGAAGACATTTTTAACAGCACCGCTCGCTGCTGTTGTCAAAAGCTGTCACCACATCGCTCGAATAAGTCTGAGACTGTGATACATTCACCAGGATAACGTTATTAGAATTGTTGCTAGGATGCGTATTTTGGATGTGATATATTTGTAAAAAGCCGACATTTTATTGCTCACTCACGCAATAATAATAATAATAATAATAATAATAATAATAATAATAATAATAATGAGGTCTCATTTGTTTCCATATTCAAGTTATATACGTAAATGAAACGATCCATTCACATCTCCAGCCTCGTTTTCATAATCCTCGCAGATCCCAGCTAAATTCTAAACTCGACCTTTTGCGTTAGGCAAACCTTTAAGTGAACCCACTTCTTTTTTTACTGTTGGGGGTCACCATTGAGGATGTGTAGTGGTGTAATCGATAGCGTCTAGGGAAGAAAAAAGTCGGAGAGCCGAGTTCTAATTCGAGTCGGATTCGGTATATTCACAGAAGCGCAATATCCTTGGGAAAGGCATGAATCCATCGTTTCTTCATCACCTCAACGAGCGGTTAAATAGTATGACTTTTATCCGAAAAAAAAATCATTAATATCACTAAAAAAAATCAAAATGCAAAATACACGCGAAAAAAGATAATTATTTGTTTTGGCTTTAAATAATCCATAAATTATTGACAAACCATAAAATAAACAAATTATTTAATTTGTCAGCTACCGGGCAAGGCTCTTGTATTACTATGCTTTAATTTGCGGTTCATACTTGTGAATGTTGCCCCACCGAGGCGAATGTCTTTATAATCTTTGCCTAAATTATTATAATGCTTGTTTCTCTGCACGGCCGTTAACAATATCTTCCGATGATCAGAGTGTAGTACCATAAAACCGATTAAAAAAAAGACACCCATTTGTGATGAGTCTTTTTAAAACTCACCTTGTACATTGTTTACGAAGCTGGAAAAAGCGAGCGGTAAACAAAAAGTTGAGATTCTGAGAAAAAAAAAGTATTTCTGACAGAAAAATCAATGATGTGAAATCGATAGATACCTGACAGAAGAAGAAGAAGAAGAATAAGAAGAAGAAGAAGAAGAAGAAGAAGAAGAAGAAGAAGAAGAAGAAGAAATATACCACCAAGGAAAATTTAATGGAAATATGGAGGTGAAAGTCGTGGTGTTGCGGGCACAAATACTTAGACGGCATTAAAATAGTAAACGGAAATGGAGCTAAAACGAAACTGAGGTTCCAAACAAGTTTCACCCAGGTTTTCTGCTGCAGATAAAGTGACAGCAAGTATATCTTTTACTCCAATATATCCCAGGAATGTCTTGTATATTTTTCTCTCTGTATTTCTAGAATAAGGAGTAAACATTATTTGCACTATGTATACTCAAACTATTCTCCTCATCTTTATTGTTGTTATCTCGACGTTTCACTAAACGTCGAGATAACAACAATAATTTGTACGCTCCGGTCTTCCTCAGGTGTATATCGATAAAAGAGAAACATGTTAGATCTAATAGCTTTGTACATTATTCGGGCTATTGTCCTCATATTTGTCACCATATTTATCACAACGTTTCGGCCGGAATGTCGAACTGAACCCTTTATTTCGCTCACCATATTTCTGTTCTAGTTCCACGTGCCATGTTTGATAGATGTTATCTCCTGTTAATTTTCGCTCCAATGTTCGCCACTGCCGTAACCGAGTATTGAACTCACACTCTTTGAGTCCTGTCACTAACCAACGCCTTTATCCACTGTGCCATGTGTCCTTGAGGACATCTGGGTATGGATTTCTGAGCATGAGAAAACTTATATCTTCAGCAACCATTTTTATCAGTGCTCATATCGCAATTTTACTGTTATCATTGCATGTTTTTACCAGAGCTCATATTGCAACTTTTTTGTTCTTATCATTGCTTTTCTCTGGCACACCTTATTACTGGTTCCCATATTGTATTTATTTCTATGCTTGGTTGGCTCAGGAGATTTTTGTGGCCGAGCATATGTGCTGATTCTTTAAGTTTACGAATTTTCCCTGTCTATGATCTCAACATGATCCCACAGAGGGCGATGATCTCTTTTTTTCTTTCCATATGTGGTCAGCCACGTCTGATTTTTCCACTTCCCCTCGTGTTACAGCTTTCTGGTGTTCTTGAAGCCTTACCTTGAGGGGGCGGCCTGTCTCTCCTTTATATTCCTTTCCGCAGCTGCACGGGATAGCGTACACACTGTCTTTAGTCATGTTCTCCTCTATGGGGTGGAGTCTTACTCGCGAGAGATATCTGCGAAGTGTCGTCAAGCTTTTGAAGGTTGTCCTGATGTTATATGAACCGCAGATCCTTTGTATTTTCTCTGATAACTCATTCACATAAGGCAGGCAGACTGTTTTCTGAGTATTGTTGTCCTCCTCCTACTGTACCCGCCTATCCTAGTTTTGGGGGCGCTGCTGCCATGTACCCAGGATAGTTGTTACGTTTTAGTGTACTATTTATACTGACCAATTCTTTATCTAACGTCTCTGGGTCGCCAATTATGACATTTGCTCGGTGTTGTAAGCAACGTACGATCACTTTCTTTACGCTGTATGGATGGTGGGAGTTGAAACTGAGATCATAGATAGGGAACACCATTGAAAAATTCGGAAATTAACAGGGAGATAACTGATAACTGATATCCATCAAACATGGCACTGGAATTAGAACAGTCTATCCCAGTGAACGAAATAAAGGGTTCAGTTCGACAGTCCACCCACCTGAAGAAGGGCGGAGCGTACAACGGCCGAAACATTGCGATAAATATGGCGACAAAGTTGAGGACAATAGTTTGAATAATGTAAATAATGTACATAATACCTCATCTCAGAAATATAGACAGACTCTAATAGTTTTGATCGAGATGTTTTGCTAGAGGTAAGTTTGTAGAGTGTTTGTAGGAGGCTTTTATAAATTAAAGTCTTATCGTTGTAAACAATTATCCCCAAACTACTAAATCGTTTCTCTAATATATCATATACATCATATATATATATATATATATATATATATATATATATATATCATATAAATTTCCCTTTGAACAATGCTTTAATTATATTTTTTATCTCTCGTCTCGTTGAATAAGAACAAAGACCTGTCGACAGAAAATTCCAATCTTTGACATCTTTCTCAGGATTCTTTCAGTCGTTCAAAAGGTCTTCTAATAAAAAATAAATATTACCTATTAACATAATTCGAACTAGTGTCATCATCTTTGTTGCCATATTTATCACGTCCCTTGTACGCTCCGGCCGTCTTCAGGTGGTCGGCAATAAAGGTTTCACTTCGACATCCTAGAAACTGAAGAAGGCCGGAGCGTACAAGGGCCGAAACGTTGTGATAAATATGGCAACCCAAGATGAGGACAATAGTCCGAATAATGTAAATAGTGTACATTATATCTCAGTTATATAGACAGATACAAAATAAATATTAGTTTTATTATTAACATTTTTGTTGTTTTTTATCTCATGAATTTCTTTCATCGGCCCATTATAGCTACACACACTCACAGAAACACACACACACACACACACACACACACACACACACATATATATATATATATATATATATGTGTGTGTGTGTGTGTGTGTGTGTCTGTGTGTGTAAAACATTTTTGCACACAAAGCATTATTTACAAATAGTAAATATGCGAAAAGGAAAACACTTTTTAAGCATATATGGGAAGAACAAATAGAAAATGCTCAAAAATATCATTCAAAATAATGAAAACAACGCCAGATTCCAAAGATAAACACAAAATCAGTAAAGTCTGTGTGTCGGAGGAAAACGCTATAATATCCTTCTCGGGCCAACACAAATTACTAAATAAACTATCAGAACCTATCATAAAATGCAGACACAAAATAATTTTTTATCGTATTAAAATATGAAACAAAAAACGAATACATTGTAAAACAACGCTGTAATAATATAAACAAATGCGTAACATACTTTAAACAAATCCGAAATTTGAAAGTAAAACGATAAGATGACCAACCTCTGAAAGTAAAATAATAAAAAAACAAAATAAATAATCAAATTAAGTGTTGTGGTAGGATCCACCTAATTTGCATAGTGGAGTACCGACCATATAAATATGGTTGGTACCGGGAAGAGAGGGAGGAATCAAGAGAGTCAACCAGAGACTCTGCCCGACTGCGACTCAGTCAACACATTCTCCAGGAACGGTCTTACCAGGAATATACAAAAGACTATATGTAATTATTGTGTACACTTTCTTGTCTCAATATATTTTGTTATAAGTACATTTTGTGTTGCATTATTATTCCATGCATTAGTCAAGTTTCAACATTATGTAATAACCAAATTTTGAATACTAAATAATAAAAATAAGATATCTACAAATAACCACATCCTGATCTACAATTACTTTTACACATTAGTCTTTAGAATAATTCGAATTATAGTCGTTACCACTTACCAAGGATAATACAATCGAGCTTGCTAGGTATAATTCCCCACTGACCAGATAGGTAGTCTAGCGAACTGAATACACCTAAAGATTTGCTACTAGCCCCAGATCCCCAAAATTAAAGTAAACGGTGACCTTATGTTATTCAAAACATAATACATGAATCAATCTGAATCCAAATTAATTGAAATACTAATTTACATATACAGTGTGAGAAAGCTAAGACGATCGTTTTTGAAAATAATGGACATTTAAAATAATGTCCGCTTTCTCGGCCTCACCTTGTCGTTACATATATACAAAATATCGCTCACTTTCGTTTATTCCGCATTAAAATGTATCAACCACCCCCGTTTATGTACTTGCTTGATTTTTAGACTACATGAAGAATATACGCATGGCACAGTGGATAAAGGTGTTAGACCAAGTGACAGGACCCAAAGAGTGTGAGTTCAATACCCAGTTAAAGCACTAGAGAACTTGTCAGAGGGAAATTGATCAAGATAATTGATAACTGACATCCATTAAACATGGCACGTGCAACTAGAACAGTCTACCCCAGTGAGCGAAATAAAGGGTGCAGTTCGACATTCCAATCACCCGAAGAAGGCCGAAACGTTATAATAAATATGGCGACAAAGCTAACAATAGTCCGAATAATGTAAATAATGTACATGATAACTCATCTCAGAAATATAAACAGATAAGGAACACACCTATATAAAACGTATAAAAATCATTAATATTTTTGCCTTTTTATATGAATACTTGTCACAAAATAGAATCCTTACGTTTGATAAAATCCCTCAGAGGACGAAACGCGTCGGCTAAGATAAGTTTTACTTTTCTCTTTATTTATATTGTCCATTTATAGATATACTCTATCTAATTGTTTTCTTTTTGAATTATCATGTATCTTTATGTCATTGCCACAAATCGTAAAGTTCTAATATTAAATAAATACAATATACTGTATGATTGAGTGATTTAAGCACAACAATGGAAAATTTTGAAGACGTTGACAAGAGATCAGTGAACAATAGAAAAAAATATTGAAAACGTTACCAAGAACATGAAATAAAACCGGCTTGAACAATCCTATAAAAAGACATTAAAGAAAAAATAATTAAAACGGCTAATAAACAAGAAAACTGAATGGAAAAGAAAATATATGAAGAAGCTGGCGTTCGGGATGTAAACACCGAGAAAAAGATTCACAATATGAAAATGATTGGCTGACGATATGAAAGAAACTAAATTGCCATCTTGAAGTAAACATCATAAAGAAAAATATCACTGGTAATATTTAGTGATAAGTATAGCTGAGACTAATAGGTAGGTTCAGGATTTGCTTCTAGAAGGTGAACATCAACCAAAATGCGGTAGGAAAGAACAGATACACGGAGGATTAATGTTTTTGGCTAGCATGACTCGTGTTATTTTTTCCTTTTATACATGCCCTGTCCTTTCGGGACATAAGCGATCATGGCTCTCCATTTTCCCCGTATCCCTTGTAGCTCTCAATAACATTTCTATTTCCTCCAGGTCATGTTCTGTCATCCATTTTCTTGAGCCCGCTAGTTAAGTCTTGCGTTGCTTTCACTTGTCTCTCTTTATCTTTGTTCGACATGAGTGTGCCAGATTCTCTAAGCCCTCCTTCCTCATTGCGTTTCCCAGAAATTTCAGCTGCAATTTCCCGATGTTATGTATAAGTGTCCCCCTTG